ATGCCCTTTCAAGGTCCCTTCCCACCCCACCATTCCGTGGTTATCTTTCTGACCCCAAGCCTCTCTGTTGTGATCCCTTTGCAGACAGACGAATGGCGCCTCAGCTGCATCAACCAGGAGTTCTCCATCTGTCCCTCCTACCCTCCCCTGGTCATTGTCCCCAAGGCCATCGACGACGAGGCTCTGCGGAAAGTCGCCGCCTTCCGCCACGGCGCTCGCTTCCCGGTGCTCAGCTACTACCACAGGAAGAATGGGATGGTGAGCTGCACTGGGGGTTCTTTGGGGCACCTGGAGGGAGTGGGTCAGGCTGCTGAAGGAGAGAACTTGTCCTCGAGACTCCCTCCAGTTCAGGAGAGGTTCCCTGCTTCTGTTTTCCAACCTGTTGCGTGGGGTGAGGCTGGTTCTGGGTGTTAGGGTGAGGGATGGTCCATCCTGGGCACAGCTTGTGGGGGAGAGAGTGTGGCATGAGCTTGCTGAAGGCAGGAGAAGCAAGAGGAGACCCTTGTTGGCTTTGTCTACCAAGAGGCTTCGTGCTGAAAGGATGGCAGAAACCCTGGCTCTGGGTGGTGGGCCCATCTCCTGCCTGACAGAGGCACCATCACAGCAACGTGTGCCCAGATCCATCACTGCTCCTGCTCTGGAACTGCTGAAGGAGCCAGCAGGACAGTCTGTTCTCCGAGCCTGTCGCTGTAACAGGTTTCAGGAGCAGCAGATTCTTGGTGTTGCTCAGACTTCACCACCTCTCAACGAGCCAAAATCTGAGGGACCGATAGGCTGTAATTAAGAGAAGCACCTCGTGAAACCCTTGAGTCATTCCTTGTACCTCTCAGTGATGTCACCAGCTCTGAGAACGTTGGGATGTACACCCTGTGGTTTGTAAACTTGATCCAGGCTTCTGAGTCAAAACACTCTGATGTTTTCTCACCTCCTGGTGCCAAGATTTGTCAAACCCCCAAGTTAGACGCCGTCTCCTCTGACTTTTGGGATGATTTATCTGCTCTGCTTTACACCCAGCCATCCCCCAGCCTCCTAACAGTCTATCAGTGCTCTCTAGGTTTCTCTCAGCTTGACTTGAATGCGTTGCAGGAAGATTTGTTCAGTTACCTGTGGGAGTTGTGGACGTTTGAGGTGTGAGGAGCAGCACAGTGCTTGGCTCGGGGTGCCTGGGCTCGTGACAAACACTGCCTGTCACATTGCTCTCCTCAGCTCCAGCTTCTCAGGGGCACTTGGGGTTGCTGCCTGGCTGCCCTCACAGCTCTGTTATCATTTGAGCTGATAGGATGCTTTCTGGATTGAAAGGCACTTCCTAAAGAGACATCTCAGCCCAGAAATCTGTGGAGCTGAGGTTTATGAGTGTAGCCACGGGGTGAAGCTGTACCTAAGAGGCACCTTTAACACATGAACGACTTCAGTGGCTTAAAAAAGAGAGCTGGGAAGAGACTGGAAAGATGACAGTCCTGGAGATGGTGGTTTCTAAAGGAGCTCTCAGCAGGGAGCCAGCTCAGTGCCCCACAAAGCTGGCACCACAGGAATAATTAAAGGGATGAAGCAGCTAAGAAGTTGTCTGTAATTTAGAAAGGGGCCAAGTGATCGCTCAGTTCAAGCATTTCTAGTTGGGGTTTTAAATTCAGTCCCTGCCAGGGATTGCACTTAAAAGACCTGGAGGATTTGGGGCAAGGGAGGAGAGCAGCTGTAGGGAGAACTGCAGGGATGTTTCTGTGCATCAGGCACTGTGGGTTGGGGTGTTTCCTTCTCTGGGTCCAGGCGTGGTGGGTCAGACTTGAAGCAGGTGAAGAGTGTGGCCAGCAGGTCGAGGGAGGTTCTCCTCCCCCTCTGCTGTGGCCTCACTAGGGCAGAGCTGGAGTGTTGGGTCCAGTTCTGGCTCCCCAGGTCCAGCGAGACAAGGAGACACTGGAGAGAGTCCAGTGGAGGCTGGGAAGATGATGAGTGTCCTGGAGCATCTCTGTGCCAGGCCAGGCTGAGAGCCCGGGGGCTGCTGAGCTGGAGAAGAGAAGCCTCAGAGGGGATCTGAGCAGTGCTGAGCAAGAGCTAAAGGGCCCCGGGGGGCAAGAGGCTGGGGCCAGACTCTGCTCAGTGGTGCCAGGGACAGGACAAGGGGCAACGGGCACCAACTGGAACCCAGGAGGTGCCACCTGAGCAGGAGGAGAAACTTCTTTGGGGTGAGTGCCTCATTTCTGGTGGTTTGTCCCTGCAGGTGATGATGAGAAGCAGCCAGCCCCTGACGGGTACCAACGGGAGGAGGTGTAAGGAGGATGAGAAGCTCATCAATGCCACCCTGAGGCCTGGCAAGAGGGGCTACATCATCGACACCAGGTCCTTGGCTGTTGCCCAGCAGGCCAGGGCCAAAGGAGGGGGCTTTGAACAAGAAGCACACTACCCCCAGTGGAGGAGGATTCACAAATGTATTGAGAGGTGGGGGTTTTCCTCTGCCCTTGGCTTTCTAGGGTTGCCTGTAACAGTTCCAGAAAGTGCCTGCTTCTGGAAGATGTGGCTGTGTGTCCTGCTTCCTCTCAAAGGAGACACGTTTCTTTTGAGCAAAATGAGGTGATGTGGGGGATAAAGTTATTGGGCTTTGGAGAGCTGTGGTTGGTTCTTTGGGATGAACGACCTGCTGCAGGTTTCAGAGGTTGGGCAATCTCCCTGAGAGCTCTTTGACCATCTAGAGCTGCACTCCAGCCTTCCTGGGCTCCCTTTTGCAGTAGCACAGAGGAACAAGCAAGTCCCTTGCCAGAAAACTTCTCCAAGTGAGGGTTTGCTCTGTGGCACTCACACTCCTCCTAGCCAGTACTTTGGACATCTAAAATGATCTGGTCATTTGGAGATGAGTTACTAAGTTAAAGAGACTTTAAGCCTGATCTTGTTCAGCTGCTCTTAAGGCTTAGTTTTGGGGAATCTGGTTTTGTTTGTCTTTGTCAGCTTTTCTGAGCCAGCTGCATCCTCTGTGAGACATGGGATCAATGTTAAGTGGCCTTTGATCCCTCAGGAGTTGGGTGTCCCTATGAAAGAAGACTGGAGAAGTGTCTGGTTTGGTCAGAACTCCAGTTTCCCAGAGCTTGAGGACATAAGGCAACAAATGCAGGAGGGCTACAAAACATCTTCAGTTCTCTGTACATTAAGAAATGAGCCAAACTAATCTTAGTGTGGTTCTAACTTGAGAAGTTGAGTCTAGTTTAAACTTTTCTGTGCTGCAGTGGAGCAGTGTCCTTGTTGGGAAGGGTGTTCAGGTTACTGTTGCAGCTCTACAGGTTTAAACCCCCCCAAAATTCCTAGTAGAGAGAATAAAGGTGCAGCACATGAAGCTTGGCTGGCACTTGCTCTTGTCCATGCCAGGCTGCAGTCAGAGGCTACTGGCACACATGTTACATGAGAAATGTGAGATATGGCTCCACAGAGTCCAGGCAGGAAGGAAGGGACAGAGGGATCTGACCAGGCTGGATGGATGGGCCAAGGCCATTAGGATGAGGTTCAACAAGGCCAAGGGCTGGGTCCTGCCCTTGGGTCACCACAACCCCCTGCAGTGCTCCAGGCTGGGGGAGAGGGGCTGGAAAGTGCCTGGTGGGAAAGGACTTTGAGGGGGGTTGGTCAGCAGCTGGCTGGAGAAGAGCCAGAGTGTGCCCAGGTGGCCAAGAGGCCACCAGGATCCCGGACGGGTCAGCCCTGGGGTGGCCCG